TGGGAGTTACTTTATTCATTGAGGTCTGTTAAAGTAGGTAGGGTGCCTGCCTTAGCACATCTAAATTTCCAAAAGGGATTGAATTCACAAGGGCCTGGCAGTAATAAGTAAGCAAAAGGAAAGAAGAACTGACCTCTTCATTTTTTGCTTCTTATCCCTTTAGCTGCAGCTGCTTCCCGTCTCCTGTCTTTTTCTATGTACTTGCTGTCTCTGCCAGCCAGTCCTTAGTCCGTTCCTCATCCACACCTCCTACTTTATCCTCAACTTCGCCCGTCCTTTCTCCTTCCTCCTTACTTGCTTTTCAAAGGCCCCTCTTGTTTTTAACATCTTTCACATCTGTGGTTCTGCACTCACTGCCAACACGATAATCGATTCTCGTTGCTTTGCTTCGGTGCTTGGCTGTGCACGTCGAGTGTAACTTTACGCGCCGCTGTGCTTGTCCCCTATTTGGATCTTTCAAATCTGGAAACCTTGTTTGCGACGCTGCTACCCACGTGTTTTTGACGTTCCCTCCCTTTCCCACTGGCATCATAGAACCCCTTTTTCTACAACAAGAACAAATTTGAAAGTTTTTCACATCGTTCATCTTCATTCACTACCATGGCTTCCAATTCAGGGTACGTTCTACCTGCAGTTCGCATTCGCTATTTGTGAGCTCTACCTGACATCATGAAATTTATAGGCTTGGCTCTGGGCTTAAGAGCTTTTGGCATGCCATGACTTCAAACGACAGGCACGCAAATCACGATTCCCCTTATCGTGTGCTGTCGACCAATACCCATCAACCCCTGAATGGCGGTGGAGGAGTTGGTCGTAATCCCCCGCTACAAGGAGTCTCATCACCAGGAATGGAAACGGGCCTCAACTCGAGCTACCACGAAGAGAACCGTTCTACAGCTTCTCTTGCCGGAACACCAGGAGTTTATTCACCTCGCTCCCCCGGGGGATCCATCAATGGCCCGAATTCCCCCTATACCCCTGGAATGAGGTCCTCCGTGATTGCAAATGAAGCACCCCCCGGTGGCGGAATCGCAATGCAAGATTTCGGTGCCGACGGGATGCCTCCTCCCCCTCCAATCAGCCACACCTGGAGCCGGATTGATAGATGGTGCGAGGACAACTACCCCGAGCTCTTTGATCAGATCTGCACACCCGCTACCGTGAACGACATCAACGAACTTGAATACAGCTTGGACTGCTCGCTTCCACAGGACTTACGGGAATCATTGCTGATTCACGATGGCCAAGAGCGCGGTGGAACACCTACAGGTCTTATTTTCGGGGCAATGTTGCTCGACTGCGAGGAAATGTTGGATGAATGGAAGAACTGGAGGGTAGTCGAAAGTGAATATCTGACTCAGCCACCATCGGGACAAAAACCTCCGGTTGGAGAAGCTGGCTCGTCTAAGGCCGAAAGTGCTGCCCTTGGGCGTCAGGAACTCCTTGGCCGCCAGACCTCCCAACCAGAGGGCTCCATTCAGAAAGCATATGCCCACCCAGGTTGGATCCCTGTAGCAAGAGATTGGGGTGGCAACAACATTGCGGTTGATGTGGCTCCAGGTCCTAACGGAACTTGGGGTCAGGTGATTCTATTTGGCCGAGATTATGACTGCAAATACGTTGTCTCAAAATCATGGGCACACTTTATGGCCATGGTAGCAGATGACATGCAGAGTCCCCATTGGTACGTTGACGAGGAGACTCAGGAATTGAAACTTAAGGATCCCAGAGCTCCAAGGTCAGAGCCAGGTTACATGGATATCCTCCGAGTACGTAATGAGCGCAAGTACGGAAGACGTCGCTTCTCGCGAGGACCACCTCCAAGGCCCAATTCCCTTCCCGGATCGCCAAGAGGCACAATGTCACCAACCTCCTTCAGTCCAACCAACGGAGCCCGGGGTGGTTTGACGCGACCAGCAAAGGAAGAAAACTCATTATCAGACAATCACCTCAAGCCACCTTCGAAAAAGACTTCCAAACCTCTACGAAGCGTTGCCGAGGAGATCCCCGCACCGGTCGCTGTACACACAAAGCTTGAGGGCGAGCTGCTTAGAAACAACTCTAGCAGCAACCTACTCGGTGATTTGGTTGAAGAGAAGACATCCGCTACAGTCAAAGCACTCGAAGAGATTGCTTTAAGTGACGAGAAAGCTTCTGCAGGAGATGAGATTTCTCAGCCTCCAACTGCAGTCAAGAAAGTTGAGGCCTGATTTGAATGAGCATGAAATTGGAGTCGTGGAATTTTCCTTATAGAGCTTACGAATTTTTCCTTTTTTTTCCCCCTTTACTCCTTGACTTTTCTATGTTGATCAGATACCAAGCGGGAATTGCATATGGGCGAGTGATTAAGGTGGAATTATTCGATAATCTGGTTAGGACTTATGGTCTTTTAATTTCTCCCTCATGTCTCTTTCTTTTGTCGGGTGGTATAGTACAAATCACAAGGTTGCATCGTTAGTTTAACTCTTCTTTTTTTTTTTTTCATTTTAGCACCATTACATTACCCCTTGGTGGTGTCAACTTTTCTCTAACTCGAAGGCTGTGGAGCTGGCTACTGTTTGATATGAGAAAGCTTAGCACCTCTTTATACCCCTCTCTTTTCATAAATACTTTTGTATACATCAGTTTTTTGATTTTTGTTTTACCTGCTTCTCTTCTTTTTCTCGTGCTGGTCGGTGAGCCCTTCAGGTGGTGGTGGGTGTTCTTCATATAACTTCAAAAAGGTCCTTTTCTTTTTTTCTCTTAAGGAGAGGGGGTATTTGGCAGGGAAAGAAAGAAGACTTTACAGCATAGCGTGGAAGTCAATCGATTCTTGTGTAGTGGAGTTTCTCTGATCGTAATTTATTGTATGAATGATTAGTGAATGATTGATTACTCACGATTTATGTCTCTTTTCATGTGTCTTTGAATGCCTTTTTCTTCTTACTAGGATCTTTGGCCAAGGGAAGTGAAGTTGAGTTGGTTGTCTGTGTATAATAAGCGGTTATATATCGGCCCGATGTCGGTAATGTTAGGGCGAGTGATGCTGTATGAACGACTTTCTCCCCAGATGTCAGCTCTCTCTCCCCACAGAACTATTCCGACTCGGTGTTGGCCGTGTGCGGCTCATACATAAGCTTTCTGCCAAGTTCAACACGCTCACGCTCACCACCACAACCACCACCAACGTCTACAATATTATACTGATCCACTATATATCAAGCTCTTCACCATACCCCACTCCCTCTTCAGAAGCAGAAATACTGCCCAAGATGTTCAAATCATTCCTCCGTCCCCTCAACAGATACCCAGTCCGAATGGTGACTCGTAGTCATCATTTATACTCCCGTTCCTTCCCGCTCATCCACGAATTCATATCCCCCCAACCCTCATACCTCCTCAATCTCACCCTCGCCCCCCACCTCAGCACCCCACCACCCCCCGCGCAACTCCCCACGTCCGGCGAGCTCCCACCTGGCCACCACATGGTCTACTTCCCCCCGCAGCTCCCCGAATCCGAACTCCTCCCCGACGGCTCTGACGCCTCTCAAAACCCCGGCCCCGAATGGGTACGCCGCATGTGGGCTGGCGGGTCCGTCCACTTCCACCCCACCAAGAAAATGGAACTAATGGACCACGCCGTGCTGCAAGAGAAAGTCGTCGACGTCCAAACACGCGGCAAGCCCGGCAGCAAGGACGAGCGCATGTTCGTCTACTTTGAGCGCACCATGTGGTCAGGCAAGCAACCACTACAGCCGTCAGATCTAATTGAAGGCGAAGCGGCTGTGGTTGAGAACCGATGTCTCGTGTTCTTTCGGGGAGCGAAGGATGAGAGTGCAGTTGCACGAGTTGTGAAACGTACCATTACCTCCGCGCCCGCACCCGCACTTATCCTAGGCTGACGGTCAGAGCGCAGCACCGCATGAGGCGGACTTCTCATTGAGCTTCATGCCGACGCAACACCTGCTATTCCGCTTCTCGGCGCTGACGTTCAATGCGCACAAGATCCACTTCGACCCGCTGTTCACGCAGCACAAGGAAAAGTACCCGGGGCTGCTGTGCCATGGGCCGATGTCGCTTGTGCTGCTGCTGGAGCTGTTGCGTGTTAATGTGCTGGACACGGGGAAGGACAGGACATGGCGGGTGAGGCAGTTTGATTACCGCTGTTTGGCTCCTATGTATGTCGACCAGGTGCGTACACATCATTTCCTTGCTCTTATCTACATCCGGCACAACAGCGTTCATTGGTTACCTGAGGATGTCGTTGACAAACATGGCCGCCGGCTGGCTGCGGCTATCGACAGCCGTATAAAATCTGTGGCCGCAAGATCAGCGACAAGACGTATGAGCTGTGGGCAGAGACGCCGCAGGGCGGGTATAGTGTCAAGGGCATGGCCATGCTGGAAGAGGAAACCTCTTGAGCAGCTCCCCAAAGAGCTCCGGCATGGGTTTGTCCCAAATATCGACGACTCCTCTCTATCATTACTTCTCCCGGATATTGCCAATATGAAATATAAGCTATCTACTATATCTGAAGCTCCAATAACAGAGCTCCTAGTTGCTACATCGACCCAGCGATCCAATATAAATCAGGAATACTATATTCTATCTCATAAATCAAGGTACTCAAAAATCAGTAAAGTAAAGTAGTAGTTAGACCGAGTGAGCTTCTGAACAGAACACCGGTAATTGAGGCGGCCTATAACCGCCCATCACGCAACTAGAGTACGAGTACATAAGACGTCAACCAGAGAATCTAGACTAAAAACTACCGTCCAGGCCGCCCTAGTTCTAGTTCTAGTTCCAGCGCGGGCCTCATATGCTATACCGTGCACACCTGGCCGCCTCGAGACAGCCCATAAAATACATGGCAATCTAAAATGCTATACCCGAAATTGGCACATCCTAGGAAATGAGGATCATATCGCTTAGTGAGCTGGGGGGTGCTTGACCTCCCACTCCCAATTAGGCATCCCAGTAAAACAAGAAAATGAGGTAGAAAGAAAAACGTAACACTCTCAATGCAAAACTCGTGGGCGTTTTACATTGGTCGAGGGCGGGTATGAGATTGGCGATAGGGCAGGTGTTGATTCCTTTCTAAATTTTTACCGCCGAGGAATATTTGTGGTAGCGGCGGTGCGGTATGGCTTTGTTGGTGCTGTAGGTCGATCTTATAGTTGCAGATAAGTGAGTATATCGAGGCCTTAGGACACACGCAACATTTCATGCAATACCGCTCATTGACACCTAATAAAATAGTAGTGAGGCCTTACCAAAGCAACTCCCAAACGGGCATATATTTCTGAAAGCGGTGTGCGTGATATTAAAACGCAAATCTACACAACCAATGACGGAATCATCACGTAATTGTACCACGAACTACAATGTTAAAGAGAGAGAAATGCCTCTATTGCACAGCCATCCCTGCAGCGATGATGGAGTACTAGGCCTGTACAAATAAGCTGTAGGTACCGAGAACTGTTGTAACTACGGCCACTGCCAACTAACTTACACGGACGCAATGCATATGTGCTGTGTGTCGATCTTATAGTTGAAATATATACCAAGACGGTGAGGCCTTATGAAACTTGCAATATTCCATGCAACATTACTCGTTGACACTTGACAGAACAGTAGTATTACCTTACCGATTTCAAAACGGGTGCACAGTTCTGGAAGCCGTGTGCGTGATATGAGATACACATATAATACAACCAATGACGGAAGCATGGCGTAGTTGGGTTGCACCACGAGAGCTTCCAAACTCTCGCTGATATCAACATTTCATGCAAAACGCTCATTGACACCTAATCGAGCAGATTGGGAAGTACAAAGTATCTAATGCCTTCACAAAACAATCACCACTATAAAAACCATGGCGTGATATAAGATACACATACGTGGCAGATGACGGAGACACCATCCACCTCACGAACTTATGAATGCGGGGAATGTAGGGGAATAGCACCTCTGTTGCATAGGTACAAGTAGGTCGCCTCCACTCTGTAGATAGGACTTGGCTCCGTGTCTTCATGGGTTTGTAATTGTAGAGCTGTTGTAGTTTAGAGCTTTATGGTAAATAAGTTCTAGATAATTTTTCGGTAAAGTGAAGCTCCTTAGCTACACACGCGTACTTCCGATTCCTCAGGGTTGCGAGAATTTGGGGAAACGCCCACTCCCAAACACATTACGCGACTGGCGACTCAGAGGAACCTGTGCCGCACAGTATCGTTTCTAGACTTGCTGGAATCGCTCTATCTCGTTGAGTACATATATGGCGAGTACCTAATAGTAACTATACTGCTGGTGATGGCGACGCCGCTGACGGTGTTGCTGGCAGGTTTCATCAAGAGAGAAATGATGGTGGTGGTGTTGCTGGTCGAGTCGAGTTTTACCATTGGCCCGAGCGCTCGCCCATTTGGGAGGGCTACTCTGTTCAACTCATGGGATCATCTCTGCTCGTGGAGAAACTTGAGCTTTCCAATAAATATGTTTGATACCCTAATAAGGCAAAAGTATTGAAAATATTCTTTCTGAAAAATAGCCCAGTTGGGCCAAGTGGCCTTTTATCTGACTGAAACCTCGAGCAACTCGGGCTGATTTTTATAAATTGCTCGGGGAAGCTCGACTCGTCGACTACACTAGTTGGTGGTGGTAGTGACGGCGCCTGGCAGGAAGATACCTTTGTCTTCCGCTCCAGCGCTCATTCTGCTCTGAGGTTTCGCTAGAATAGTCGAGAATGCGCCTGGGTATCAGTAGAAGATTTGCCAAATAGGGGAGGAGGTTCGTATTCCCACGGATTTCTCTTTTTTCCTCCCTCTGTTTTTATTTTTTATTTTTTATTTTTTTTCCTGCGGGGATATAGATAAAGCAAGAGAGTTATGGATGATAATACGTAACTGTAGTAAGATGTGATGAATATAGGGAGAGGGGAAGAGCATGTGGAGGCAAATCATAGAGGAAGACTAAGAACGAAAAATTACAAGATGGCGCTCAGAAGGTTTATAAAAGAGTTAGGAGTACGCTAGGCTATCACAATTAAGGGTGGTTTAAGTAGCAGGTTGGTAGGTTTAGCCCTAGGAGACGTTGCCTAAAGAAGAAAGAGTGCTTGAGTTGAACAATTAGTAGCCTACGTCACCCAGCTCACCCGAATCCGGTTGTTGTAAAGTTTAAATAGTTGGAAATACTACACTTGATCTGGCAGCGAGTGATTATTCGTGACGTGCCCACTTAACTGATGTATTTCGGGGTTGGCACGACATCTTCTCCGCTAGGAGGGGAGCTATCGCGGAAATAAATATTGCTTTTTTGTTAAATTGCGATGAAAGCTTGCTTAGGAGGTAGGTTGGGTTGGTTGAAGATGTCGCTATCTGTTTTTACTTTTGATTTTATTATTCTCGCAATACACCGATTCTAGGGGAAAGGGTGATTTATTTATGAGCAAAGGACGTTATGAAGTCTATTAGTAACAATTTACAATGCTTTCGGTCCCTAAAAGAAGGAATTTCCTTAACACATTATGGGCTAATGAAATTTACCGAGTGATTATCCATGACCGGCATACTGTCAATCCCAATCTTCGGCTAGCGCCAATCTCACAAACACCACGATCCACCACAGCCGCCACAGGCCCAGACGCAACACTTGGCCCCCTCATAAACAGCGTAGCGAGTACGTAGCGAGATAAGCAATTTCAATTTATGCGGGGCGGAGGGGTAGGCATAGGAGGGGATTAGATTTTCAGATAGGCGTTAAACTTTAAATTTGATCAAACACCAATCACCGCCAGCAGGCAACCGGAGAGTGAGGGCAAAAAATTGCCCGCCGCCGCGGATGACTCGGGATGTCGGAACAAGCCGTATCACGAGGTGGCCGCAGCCAGCGATCGTTGATAAACGGTCCGCTGTGATTGATGTTTCTAATTGCACCTGTGACCAGGCAGTTAGGCAGGCAGGACAATTGCAACCATCTCGAAGGCACTGTTGCCCCCCGCCCCCTCCCACATTAGTGATCAGGTATGTATGTTTCTTTGTTGTATGTGTGTGTGTGGTGTGGATGGCCTTAAAGTTGAACCGAGTTTGGATTGCCTGCACAGGCGTCGGTTGCCTGAACAACCGGCAAGAATGAAATAACGAGACATCCCTCCCCCCTATCATCCTTTTATTGCGAGGATAAAATACATGATGTAACCAGGCCTCCGATTGAAGCTCGTTTTTATCCCTTTATCATAAACCTGGACAGGTATGTACTTGGGATAGTATCAGGTATCAATCACCAGGCCGATATCCCGTGAAGCCCCGATAATTAAATGAATTCATACCGAGGGACTTGTCTATGTCCCTGTCATGTCATGGCCAGGGATCATCCACGGAATGCTCTGAAACGAATTATGGTGGTTGAAACAAGGAATTCATCATTGAGTTACAATTCGTCAGCGGGTAAGTTAATGACATTTCCCCATGGGGTTTGTTGATTTACACACTGCACTGGGCTGGAGAAACCACATTTTTAAGAATGCAAACAACATTATGCAAAGTTACAAGATAAGATGATTAGGGCCAATAATGTCAGCACAAGCATCACAAGAGCGACAATGATACCGAGTGAAAACAAGAGCTAGGATTGCTTTTATTCCAACAAATAGATTTAGACAGAGAAACAGGAAAAAGTGTATATACTTAAAAGTATAATCCTCTCCAATGTCTTACCAAGTAATTCTATAGGCAGTGTATTATCACGACTCCGCACTCCTAGACCATCTCCCCAATCAACCTCCAAACCATACGTCCATCCAAACGATACGTTCATCCTTCCAAACACCCAACCACCCATCCGTCCATCCGCAAACCTATTCACTACTTCCACCGCCTCGTCACCTCGTCACCACCCATCATCCTGCCGACCCTTAGTTGAAAAAGGTCCCCAGCCACAAACATAAGAAAATGATATCAGTCAACGTGCCAGTGCGTCAGATGTCAAACCATCAGGCCAGTCATCTCGCAAGAATAGAGAAACAAGAAAGGAAGAAAAATGATAGTAGAACAAACACAGAATCGAAATACCTATAATATAGGTTACATGAAGGTATAGAACAACATGATAAAGTAAGGGGGGAATATAACAAGAAGCTATTTATCAGAAAAGAGACAGGTATCGATATATCAAAGACATCAATAAATACTTACCATGTGTAATGAAGTTTTCGGGAATTTTTTTTTGAAGCCAAAATTGTAGAGGGGACTGAAAGGGGAAGGGAATAAGGAAAGGAAAGGCCTGCCATCGATAAAGAAGGGTATTCGCAAGAAATAAAATACCCTCTTTGTGCCAGACACAAGACAAAACGGAAACAAAAACCAACCCAATCCGAGCACCATTTCCCAAACATATCCGCAGAGATGCGCAAGAGAAAAACATGAAATCCAATAAGGCCCACCATCCCCGAAAAAAGAAAAAGAAAAAAGAAACATAGAACATGAAGACATTCCCCAAGCAAGACCGAACAGACCCCAAGAGAAAGGACCCCCAAAAAGTATGAATGCAAAAATCGATGCCGGAACCCAAATGCAAAGTGCACCTGCCGAAACACAAACAGATCGCCAAAGAGAGAGAGGGTAGAGGATATAATGAAGGGTATGGTGCAAAAAGAAAAATGAAACCAGATATAAGAACCTACAGGAGTTTGCCCAAACCAAAACTTCCTAAAACCCGCCATGAATAAAAATGAAAAAGAAACAAACACCGAAAAAATAGATCCACGAAACCCGAAGCTATACATTATTCACCCATAACTCGCCAGTGTCCCAAGTAGAAAGAGATAGGAACCAAGGAAACCCAAGAAACCAACCCATTCTCCAAAAATAAAAACACCTAGAAATCAAGAAGGAAAAACACCCTTTAGTCCGGAAATCAGATCATCAAAACTTTCCTCAAATCATTTTCCAGCTCAATCACGCTCTGCTGAATGACTGGCGAAGCAACAGCTTCAAGCTTACTGGCAAGAATAGAATTAGGGTTGTGATGGAAGAAAGGCACCATTGTGGAAGGCTTGTTCATGTAAGTGGGGATGTTATTAGCAGGGCTAAGGCGGGGCCGAGTAGGAGCCTGATTGGCGGGTGAAGTTCGAGGGGGATAGCCCGGCACATATGAAGCGTTCTGCTGCTCAAGATGCGAAGGTCCTGAATATGGAAACATTGCCATGGGGAAATATCCAGGGCCTGCAGGTGAGCGAGGGGATTGTGGTTGATATGCACTTGGATTGAAAGCCATAGGTGGTCCAGCCTTGGAGGAAGGCGAGGCAGCTCGGTTCGGATTCTGAGCTCGTTGAGCTCGACTCTGGGTTGACACAGGTGACATGGGAGATGCTTGCACCTTGTTTGTCGGGGACAGTGGCGAAAGGAGGTATTGCCTCAGAGCCTTAGCCGTTTCTTTACGTTTGTCTTCCTCCAAGGTCGATTGTGTTGGAAGGTTGGACGGAGCAGTAATGGAACGAGACTGATTCATGCGTTCTTTGAAAGTAGGGGCCATAGGCGACGTGGGCTTGTCGAGCTCATCCATAGAGAAAAACAATGAATCTTGCGGAATATTACGAGTGACCTTGCGATTATTACGGGTAGGGGACTCCGGGTCCACATTGGCGCTGATTGTTCAACATACAAGTAAGTCCCAAATACTTTCCGTGTAACAACATGGCATTTGTAACATACCCAAAAACTCCAGAAAAAGAATCAATCGCTGCATCGCTAGATGGGGGAGAACCTGAATCCTGACGCTTCATACTCATGTTTTCTGCCCTAGCTGCGTTGAAAAGCAATTCAAGGTGTGACTGTTCCTGCTCTGTAGAGGTCGATTCCGCAGTATTACTATTCGTATCACTTGCGTCACTTTCCATCATTGCCTGCAGGCTGGTACCAGCGGGAGTACCAGGTACAGATTTTGAAAAAAACTTCGGCATAGGGAGAGCAGATGGTGCCGGCGAATGGTGAAAAGTAGGGCCTGCATATGCCTTCATTGATGGCGGAGTAGATGAAGAGGAGAGCTTGCTTGGTGTAATTTGGCCACTTGGAAACTCGTCCGACGACATTGGAGGCGACTCAAGATCAACTGGAATAGCTTCTGGGGTAAATCCGGCTTGAATTTTCGTTGCAACATTTTTAGGTTTTGGTTTTTCCTGCTTTGGCTTGTCCTGCTTCTTGTTTTTCCTTTTCTTTCCAGATGTATCAGTGCCCGCGTTAGGAAAGTGTTGAGCCTTAGGTGTTGTTGGAGGAGTCATAATAGCTGAACGGGTCGAGCCTCGGTAATTGGTTGCAGAAGCAATATGAGTAGTACTAATGGTAGTTTGATTATTGTAGATTGGCTGGGCGTGGTGCTTCGGGTTAAACTGATTTGGAGCAGCTATAAAGGAACTGCTTTTCGTTTGCCGATGGTTATTTCGCCCTGATCTGGGCTTAGGAGAAGGTGAAGATCCAGCGATGCTAGTCATTTTGTATTATAGGCGAAAAAATACGACGCCGATAAATGGTATACAATCGATCAACCGAAAGGAGAAGTAAAATATAACCAGATCCCGAAAGAGGGAAGAAAAGAATAATATACAGCAAGCGCTGAATAAACTGGAGGCGCCGTACTACTAAAGGAAAAAATCGATTTCTTCAAAAGGAAGACAATAGAGGCGCAGATATCGGATGCGCAGTAAGATACAGAGGTATAGTGCTGGTAGGAAATATTGGAATAGGAAGAAGGCGTGTTTGTGTTCGAAGGCGATGCCGATTAGTTATGAAACCGAAGGATAAAGTCGATAGTGTATTGGCAGAAGAAATGTGGTGGGGATAATGGTCATTCTCAAGATAGGAGAAAATGAGGGGAAGTGGTCAAAGTTGAGGGAGAAGGCAGGTTGATATCGTGTGTGAGAAGGGGGGGTGAGAAAGAAGAAGAGTGGATAGAAGGGGAACTGGGGGAACAAGCGAGTTTTGAGGAAAAGGCTTCAAGAACGAGGAGAAGTGGGAAGGGGGGATCAAGAGGGTGTGAAAAAAAGGCTGGCAGCAGGCACACACCGGGAGCAACGTGGTGGCCCCCAGGATGGCGCGAATCCTAGGACGCAAGTCACTCTTTCGTCTGCTTGCCAAGGACAATCCAGATAATCTTGCCACAGAGCTCTTGAGACCCCAGAAGGGGGGCGTGTCCATGCTCCCCGCCGGAAGGAGACTGTTTGGTGGATCGTTTTGGAGGGTTGATATCCGCGCCTATTGGCTAGTTCTGCTTGTTGATATTTGGGCAGGGCTGTGGAACTGTGGAACAGTCAGTGGCAACCTGCTTCTGCCTGGAATTCTATGGCAGTCAAAGAGGTGGATAGCTGATGTCCATGGCGGCCGTGCTGTTTGGCGGCGTTCTATGGTACATAGGTAGTTGGATAAAATGTTTGAGTACTTTCCGTAGCTTGTTGTATATACAGTTACATATGTTGTTTTCAGAACCCTACTCTCAAAATCTATTTCCGTACTGTTGCACCGCTGTCTCAGCATCTCCGAAGAGAGCAGGAAGAGAGCAGAAAGAGATTGAAACAACGTCCAAGCATCGCCTCTATTTTCCCACCATCGATACCTAGTAATTTATTTAGTGGAGAAAACTAAATTTGTGCTTCATTTTTTTTCTTCTTTTCATTCCGTTCTAGAAGCTATGACGAAGATTGTTGATGACTAGCGGGAATTCATAATATTAGATTGCACACACGATTCACCTGAGAAGAAGACTTGATAAAATCTATAGTTTTGAATTAATTATTGTAGTTGACTTATATAGTTATTCCAACGATGCTGAGAATTAGAATCACGTAGATACTGTGATGCTGTAGAGCAGACCCTAGAGCGCGAAGCCTAAGAGCATGGTTCCCGACTAGGCTAGGTAATGCTTCTCGTGGCAGGTGCTTGCGGGAAAATACCTACACTCCCAATATTTCGCCCTCCATCTTTTTTACCCACTAACCATCAACCTCCCCGCATAACCGTGAAGATGTCAACCATCAACGTCGAGGTATCCTGTTGATTTACGCATCACCAGTAACCTTGGCGATGGCGGGTTCATCTACCTCCGCTACTTACTCAAACGGTTTTATGACACCGGCTCCTCATCAGGGACCATCGAGAGGTCTCCAACTTCCCTCGAAAAATCTCCAACTTCCCTCGAGAAATCTCCAACTTCCCTCGAAAAATCTTCAACTTCCCTCAAAAAATCTTCAACTTCCAACTACTCAGAGGCTCATTACTCCGCCGCCGCCGCCGCCGGCGGTAACAACAACAACAACAACAACAGCAGCAGCAACAATAACACCAACCCCCGCTGCGGGACCAGTTAATGCTCATGCCCCTAAAAGTAGAAGTGGAAGTAGAAAAAGACCGCGCAGTATCGCTTGTGGTAAGTTTCTATTATGTTCTAATGAATATCACGAGTATTGAAACAAAATTAACTTTGTTGTTTAGTCACCTGTAATAAGCAGAAAAAAACATGTGGACCTGCTCGACCTTGCCCTCGCTGCCTTCATCTAAATATCCCTTGTCGACAACCCGTCAAACCCGAAGGATTTCTCTATAATACAAAAAAACAAAAGATTGCCGATCCCCCACCATCGCCCCCAGTATCGCCCAATGACCACAATGACCTCATGGTGGCCCTAAAGAAGGCAGCTGAAATACACCGTCAATTGCCAAGGCCTTGTCTGGTTCAAGGTCTACCACCGTCTCCATCGCCCTCGACTTCAACGGTGGGTACGCCCCAAGACTCCTATACTTCGACAAGTTCTTACGATGATCCAGCAACTGGTAAGAATGGCGACACAATTGAACTCAACTCGTGCATGAGCTCTCACTCGGTGTCTCCCATCAATGAAACCCCAAAGTCATTGCCAATACCGGATATGTCACGCTGGTCTCTGCCCGCTCTGCCCGCCCCTGCCGAAGAAGTGCCATACGATATCGCAAAAAATTCGCTATTCAACGGCGCACCTATTTTCGGGTTGGAGAAATTGACATATGACCCTGATATTTTAGGGGATGATATATTTGCGGGATTTGGCGAGCCAATAGATTTGGCTGATGTATACGCAGATGTGATGGGCAACATGGGAATCCAGGGGATAAAGGAACGGGAGGAGGAGTGTGGTGATGAGGAAGGGAAGCATGGCGCTGAGGTTGAGCATGTTGAGCATGTCGTCGCTCAGGGAGAGCACGTTGTTGCTGCAGGTTCTACTACGTCTGGGATAGCGTCAGAAACTGGTTGTGTTAGTGGAATTGCCTGGTTGGGTGAGGCGGATCTGTTGGCCGACAGTTTAGCTCTGGATGACGTGGACCTCTCAAATCTCGACATTCCCGGCTTAGACGATATCGTGATAGACTCGGACATGGAACAGCTGTTCGAATCTATCTCGAAAGCAACACCACCAACACTATCAGGATCACTTCCGCCGCGGCCTTAAGCGGAGTTCAAATACGATATCCATTTATCGCCGCCAGGCCCGAAGTCCGTTGAAAGAAAGAAAAGGAATAAGGCTGAATTCGCAGCACTTTACGAAGAGTTGGTAATATTAGTATGGAGTAATTCTGGGTTTGTATTTCCTTTGTGGGTATAGCGGGTTAACAATTAAAACGCGGGATATATGTCCTTCTCGTTCATTGATGTTCTTCCTACGGGGGAACATTGGATGACGATGAGTGATGATATGAACTACAGTACAGAAGAAGAAGTAATGCTATCGTGAAGAAAGACGCCAGTACGCCGACACTGGGCGACCTGGTTATGAAAAAAAAAAACCAAAAAAAAAAATCCAGGTAGCTATTACCACAATTCCCTTCTCGGTCCGAGACGTCGCTTCTCTGCTGCGGGGAACATAGGATACAAACCATACCACATCATCCACACTTCAGTGATGCATACCGGTTGCAATAGTCCGATTGCGATTCCATCGGTATCTTTCTCTCGGTACGTACGATTATTCCACCACTCCTTACTCGCCAGTTTTTTTTTCTCGGCGTGCATAGATATCGGTTGATTGGGGCGTTGTTCTCCGCTTTTTCTTTTTCGAATCTCTACCACAGGACTATCACGAAGAAGATCCCGCACCCGCCCAATCATCGCATGATGCAACTCGCTATTATTACCTGGTCCCGATTTTGGGGCTGTCCAAGTGAAATTATTCCTATCTCGCCCCTTCGTAGTTAGATGATAGCTCTGATACCCACTTTACATGCCTAAGTGATTCGTAAGTGACCAAAAGCCACCATTAGGGCTAGGGTTGTGACGTAGGATCTAAGCAAGCCAACCCATTGAAATACCTCACGAGACCTTGCTGGCAATTCACTTCTCCTCCTGCTGCTCCTCGTGAGTGAGGGAGTTTCAATTCCAAGGAAGCTACATGTCGATTCCCATCATTCAATCGATGCACAGTTATCGGCTAGATCTGTCTGGGCCGATATAGGATAGGTATGAGACCCGCTACTGCTGTCTCGATGACCTGTCAAGTGAAAGTCCATCATCATTTCTGGGTGGCTGGCTGGCTGGCATGGCAAATGAACAACAGGCACTCTCCCTCTCCGCGGGGCCTGTCACCCATTCTTCCACCATATCTGTGGGGGTTGAGAGACAGAGGAAGAGAGGGGGGGGGGGAAGGTGAACTCAGCAGAGAAGGAAGGAGTTTTGACTCGCCACGGTGTCGATGGTCATTCGCTCGCATCCTGGCAACATTACCAAACCAAACCAAACGGCCCTTTGTTTTACTTTGTTCCCAGGAAAAAGCAAGGAGTGGATGTGAGAAATGCGGTTTTAAATCAGGCTCAATGCTTCCACCATAACGTCAAACGAATTGGGCATATTCGGGGGGGTGGATCAGTTGAGACCAGTTTGGTTTGTGAGGCTTGATTTGATTGATGCCTCTGGCCTTGCATTGTTTTGGGGGGTTGATGGTCAATGATCATTGGCGCCCGGGCCGAATCGCTAGGTATGACGGCGGAGGCGGGGGATGCATGGTTTGGTTTCCAAATACTCTACTGGGGTTCTCGGGTTTCAACTGTCAATGGAACCTCAGAGGACGTTTTGTTTCTTCTTCTCTGCGCTGCTGCGAGATATGGGGACGGGGAGGCTGGAATGCAGCATGATGTTCTAGGCAGTGACTGCAGCTGCTCTACTGGGTACAGCCGTACTCGGGTTTCAGCTTTTCGGGCTTTCTTTTTAACGCCGCGATGTTTGTAGGGACGCCGGTATCGGCGTTGAAAAACACTAACCTTGTCTACCATTTTGGTATTACATACTTATTGCACGTTGCAGAAGAGTACAGGAAGGCGCTACCCTAGAAGCATACTGCGCATCTCGAGTTGAGCTGAGGCGGAGCCCATCCCGCCATGACGTTGCCGTATAGCTCAAATCTAATAAGCTTAAATAGAATAACCACTCTGATGCAGATATAGAGACAGCAGGTACTGCCGATGGTCCCTACTATGAAAAAAAGGCTGCGCTGGTTACTGGGTGCCTGATCCCAAAAGAAGGAAATGATCATTTCCGCCTTTCCGCCTTGTCTCGTCTTAATGCATAGTAGTCTAAATACTGTAACTTAGCATGCTAGGCCATAACTTGAATTAAGTCACCAGTACTCTGAGTACCTGAGGATACTGTCTCGGCTTTCATAATCTTTCCATCACCTCGTTCAATCCAACCCAGTTCAGTCCATGCACTACGCACTCCGTAGAGCCCAAGGGGAATATATTACATCCCACTACTCCAACCCGCCAATCTCAAGCTATTTGCCCAAATTCTGCCATTATTCGCCCTTACTCTACCTGGCAGTAAAGTCCTGTACTAGATATCATTGTCATGCTAAAAAAGGAAAGCGAAAAAAGTAAATCCTCAAAAAAAGAAGCTCGTTCCAAACGCCAATAATTGGAGCCAATATTTTGAAAAGAAAAGCACAAAAAAAAGCAAACTTAAGGAGGGGCAATGAACTCGGAAAGGGCAAAGACATGAAAAAGAAAGGTAGGCAGATACTAATACAGTGCGCCCACCTGAAGCATTTCCACATCATTTCCCCTCTCCATTCCGACTCATGGCCGATGATACGATAACAACCGTCCACGGCCATAACGCTATGCCGCCTAAAGTCGCATAATACCCTTCCTAAGCTGCTACATCCCGCGCACTAAACAACCTCCTCCAGACCTCCGGGCTTCTCAATGGCCTCTGCCCATTCCTTATCCTCGGATAAATATCCTCGAAGAAATAGTATATGTGGCCAACCACAATTCCCAACAGATCATCTTTCGGGAGTGTGTTGTGGAGCAGCAATGAAAAGCCGAGTAGGACCCAGGGCAGGTACGGCGCCGTGAATACAAATAGCCCCAGGAAGGATAGTCGTACGGCGGGGTTGCGGCGGGCCCAGATGTAGACTAAGCTGAATGATAGCGGGGAGCCAAGAAATGGCATGGAGGCTATTGGGGAGAGGATCTATGTAGAACGGTGTTAGTGGTACTGCTAGAAGGAGGCTGCGCATGGCGAAAAGTCGAAACTTTATATTGCACCCGAGGGAAGGAGTTGTATGTACCAGTAGGGAGACGGAAGAGTAAAGTATCAGCCACGCAAACTCCCCGGTCTGTCCGCGGAACGATGATTCCTCAAGATTGCGAGAGTAGCGGGACATGAAGAATATGTGGAACATAAAGTCAAGACTTAACGGACCGAAGTAGAGGAAAGTTGTGATTAATCGCCAATACTGCATTAAAGCGCCCTATACATTAGAATCATCGCAAGGCTAGAAAACATGTAGAAAGCAGACTAACCTGGCTCTTCCCCCAAACACTGACAGAGCTATAGAATAGCTGATATGGCGTGACAATCTGGCATTGAACGAGTATTGATGTGACAACAGCAGCGGTTGTCCATACGCGCGTTACGGGAGGTACCTCATAGTACCATTGTTCAAGCATGTTCAGTTCGGCCATGGCGGGGGAGGGGCGGATGAGATCGCCGCAAGGTACGGGAAAGTAGCTATCGATGATATATTGAGTTGTTCAAGCACCTGCAGTCTGGACAATACTGTGGAGTATTAACCGTAGATGTATGTATGTCTTGGTGCGGCGATTGATCTTCGTGAGTTACAGAAAAAGATTTTAGCAGATGAAGGTTTGTGGGAGATTAGATGTAGTTAGCAGTGGTAAGGTAGTGCTGCGATGATGTAGAGTCGCATAATGACATTTGGCCTTTCGGTTTGGCCCGCCCATTCATGGCGGCTGAAAGGGGGATGTTGGTTGCATAGCGAGACATGGGGGAAGCGTTAGGTAAGCCCTGGGCAGGGCAGGGTCCTCGGCCTGCAGGGAGCGGGTTGAATGACGTCCAGTTAAGGGTCTATGTATGGAACAGGCACGGAGTAGTAAAACTGCTAATCGTGCTAATCGATAGAGATTTACCCATGAGCAGTATCTACATCTCATATCTCATCTCATACTATATAAGAAACCATGTGGCCTTGGCTTCATAGTAGAGTTACATGTAGGTACATACATGTATTGTATTTACCTACAGAAGCTTAAGGTGCTGATACACACTTTGTCCAAGGTACAGGAAGCTTTGTTTGAGAGACAACCGTTTGTATTAGTCGGAGGGTTTGATACACACAAGTTCTTTAACCTACTCTATGTAGGATTAAGACATCCAGAGTATGTAGGTGCAAAGACCATTGTCTGGCAAGTTTCACATTTGTTATTGTGCCATCATTCCCATCTCAACTCCAGTGCGTGTAGACTCTCGAGATCTCTTATAACCACGTTCCAGTGCTCAGGACGGTAAGAAATCTACCAATCCTCGCGGTCCGTTTCCGGAGAATTAACCACCGTGTCCGTCAACGCGTAGGATTCCTTGGCGGCAACACACCCAACGCGACACAACAACGCCTTTCCCCAACCCAACCTCTCCCCTTTGAACAAGCGTGTTGGCCTCCAATCTCCAATTCTTCAATTCTCAGCCAGCCAGAGTCAGACCGTCTACACCCTTCCCTTCCCTTCCCTCCCCCTCCCCCTCCCCCCTCCACTCCCCCCCCCCCAACCGAGTCAAAATACCCCACTGGCCCATAAATAAAAATTAAAACCACTACCGCCTACCACCACCATCTAGCTTCTGCTACCCGCCCGCGCGCCCTATAATGCCGCCAAAGCCCGCCCCCAGGCTGCGAAAGACGATCGCCAAAACCCCCGTCCGCACAAAGCCCTTGAAATCCACCGCTAATTCTGCATCGGCCCGCTCTCTCCGACGGGGTTCAAGTACGTACTCATCCTCCAGGCGAAGAGGAAGAGGGAGAATAGAAATTGACTGAATTAAAAAAAAAACTAGTTCGTGCTGGTGATCCTGTCCCCGCCAACATCCGTGGTGGTGCACCTCGCCGTTGGCGCCCTGGAACAAAGGCGCTACGCGAGATTCGTCAATACCAGAAAAGCACCG